ACCCAGGGTCTGGATTGTCCTTATTTATCCAGTTATTTAGACTGGCATTTTTTTCATGATACTTCATTGCCTGTTAACCGTAAAATGGCTATCTGCATCTTTGAGCAGAATACTGAGTTACCCATACGACGACATTTTGAAAGTATCCAGTCTCCTTTCTATGGAGGATTGGCAGATTCAAATCTGGTATTCCGAACCACATCTACAATTTATAATTATGACTATGTTTGGGATTTTATTTTCCACCAAAATGGAGTTCTTAATGTTCGAGTCCATGCCAGTGGGTACATAATATCTGATTTTTACTTTGGTGATGCTGAAGACTATGGCAATAGAGTCCAAGAAAAAGTGCTGGGACCAATTCATACCCATAATATTCATTTCAAGGTGGATTTGGATATTGGTGGTAAGTAGGAAAAGTGTTTGTAACTTGCATGGAAATTATAGGCTTTTTGCCTAATTTGGCTTTCTCAGAATTGTTCTAATGACTGTCAGAACTATAATGAAGACAAACTCAAGAATATGGTTACTATTCTCCTATTTTACTATTCTTGAACTTCAATTTAGGAGGAGTGAGGTTTTTTTAAATTAAGAATATTTCCAGTATTTCACTGTCTTGTTACAAAACTTAATTGAACTTCTGTCATAATAACAAGAAAATATAATGGCATCAATTATGTAATTATCTCTTCATATAGTTTTGGGGTTTATCAGCATTCTTGTAACTCTTGCAGATATCAGTACATTTGCATTATCACTTAAAGCTGAATATGTACATTGGTTGTTTTTCAGGTAGCTTTAGAACTGGCTTCTGGTTTCAGGGCAAAGAAATAAAATAAACTTTAATAACTTATTTTCTCACACCCACCCTTGAGAATTAAAATTAAAAATGGTATCTTAACTCTCGTCCTGTTAATAGGGATAGATATGGAGCAATGTGTCTTTAAAAGCCTCCACTGAAATTTGTCATCAGAAAAAATGTTGGATGATTTCTCTGAACTTCTTGAGGTGTAGAAGGCTTAAACAGTGGCCATCTGGTTTAGGAGATTCGAAGGTTTGGATTTGAAGATTTAGTTAAAGGCTCAAACATATTTTGTGAAAATCTGTCACATATTATTCATATTTGTGCCACCAACTGGAACTGAACATAAATGTAGCATTTCCAAACAATCATTATGTCATAATACCTGTTAGGTCCAATTCTATTTCTCTTTCTTTCTCTTTGTCACATAGACACATTCTTGTTAGCTCATTTAATTCATTTTAAATGATGCTGCTTTCTGGACAATGATCCCATAAAACTATTTTGCTAATACCACAATGTGGATGCGCTTACTGTATTTTTAAACATTCCTTTCATGAAATTCCTGTATTTCTTGATAGGGTAGGACACACATCCTATTGCCCTTTGTTGCGTACTCTGCACCTACCCTATTGAAGAAAATTGGTAGTGTGGTTTTCTTGCATGCTGATACAGCAAATACATGAAGACACTGTTTATATTCAGCCTGAAAAACTAATTATGCATACTCTTATCACAATTTCATCTCTGAGTAAGTAAAATGTTAATGTAGAAGCAACTTTGATTTTAAGAAGCTGAATATGCAACAGGAGTGGCCTGATCCATCAACAGTTGCTCAAGCATTAATTGTTGTACATGTTTTCTTTCTGAGGTGTGGAAAATACCCTGGTTGGCAATGACATGGCCTTTGAGACCATAAAGGCCCCTTGGAGCCCAGAAGATAAGATCCATCGAATGAAGATAGTGAGGGAAATTTTGGACACCGAGAATAAGGCGGCGTTTCATCTCCATGATGACATGCCCAGATACCTTTATTTTTCATCCAACTGCACAAACAAGTGGGGCCATGATCAAGGCTATCGAATCCAGATAGTCAGCTTTTCTGGAGACCATCTTCTAGAGTCAGATCCAATGGAGCCAGGCCTCAGCTGGGGTCGGTAAGTTATTATTTCTAAGTGCAGAAGTAAAATAGATTCACCCATGTTTTGGGGTTTTTAGGAGCTTCAATAAAATAGGCAGGACCTGCCAAATTTATTCATTTTAAAGAGATAGATTTCTCTGAATCTATTTAAATATTTCAAATATTTTCTAAAGAAAATGTTTCCATTTCCAAAACTTAACTGTGGAACATACAGTATAAAGGAAAATGCTATTCAAATGGTGCAGAATTTCTTTTAACTCATATTCCTCACTACTGATCAAAAATTCACTATTGGATTGCATAGAGCAGGGATGTCAAATTCAAGGCCTGAGGTCTGGTTCTGGCACACGGAGTGCTTAGATCTGGCCCATGGGGCTACCCTGGAAACAGTAAAGGAATGTGGTATCTCTGCCAGTGAAAAAGGACTGGCCATGTGCAGCCCTCCTGAACTCCGTTTTCACTAGCAGAGGGTTGCAGGAGGCTGTTGTAGCCAAAAACGGAGCTTGGGAGCCCATTTTTTCTGGCAGAGTGATCGGTCCACCACAGGTATCCCTGACGGAAGAGATGGCCACACCCACCCTGGCCACACACACCCAGCCCCTATGAGGTCAAACACAGCCCTGATGCAGCCCTCAATGAAATCGAGTTTGACACCCTGGCATAGAGTGAAACAGTCCCTTTGACAAATGTAGTATGTCTGGCTTATGATCTATAATCATAATTGGAAGAGTAGTTAAAATACTTTCCATGTTACAATGATCTATTTTGGGGAAATTATCCTCAACCTGAGAGGTATTCTTAAATTTGACTTAAGACAAATGCTACAGATTATTGGAGGCTAATACTATCTAATAGCAAAATGAGCCTAGCAATTTTTTCTTTTCTCCAATATTTTCCCCCCAAAACCCAAGACCAGATAAGTTTTGAGATGTACAGAAGTAAAATTTAAATTTATGGGGAAAAAAAAAAGAGAGAATGGCATTTATCAAATCCAAATAATATAAAATAAAAATAAAATTGTGGCCTGAAATACTTTTTTTTAGTTCAAATTGGCTATAACCATATCCGGAGCATATAGACCCATCTATTGGTGGCCATGCATATTTTTATAATTTTTATCTGATATTTGCAATGCCTCCTTCTCCACAAGTGCCCTTCAGAAACATTGTCTTTTCAATTGGTTGAATATTGTACTGGTTGAATATTAAACAAATCTGAGCCATATTATTGAAAATTTGTACCCAGCTATAACCATATCTAAAGTCAGCAGACCTGGCTACTGGTGAAATTTCAAATTGCTTTGGTTGAGTATTGAAGGAACTCACGCCATGTTATTGTAAATTTGTACTCTTGCACTGCTGGACCAAATTTGAGGTGTTCCTGGTAAACTTTAATCTCCTGAGTTTGGGATCAGTATATTTAATGGACTATCTACCAGGATGGAGATCCATGATACCTGCTACGTTCGCAGAGATATCCACAGCCGTGTTGGCCACTGATGGGATTCAATTTGTTTTACTACCGGTTCTGTGGGCATGGCTTGGTGGGCATGGCAGGCGAAGGATACTGTAAAATCTCCATTCCCTCCCCACCCCACTAAACTGCTCTGTTCTCCTGTGCAGGGCAACAAAAGAAGACCCAGATGATCAGCTGGTACCCGGGAAGCAGAGAATAGATGGGGGCAGGGCACAGTCAGAGGTGGTATTTGCCAGTTCTCCAAACTACTCAAAATTTCTGCTACTGGTTCTCCAGAACTGGTCAAAACCTGCTGAATACCACCTCTGCATCTATGGAATTACACATGGCAGTTGAAACATAAAATCAGCTCAAAATTCATTTGTAGTTTAATAATGAGTTACAACATTGATTGTCCCTATATTTTTATAGTTGAGTTGGCATGGAATAAAATCCTGTCATTATATTATCTTTCAAGACCTATGCCTAGAATAATCATCTCTTAATATCTTAAGAAGAGAAATAATAATGAATAAACCTCAATCTCTGAACTCTTCTTGTTTTGCCTTAAAAGTTATAAGCTAGCTGTTACAAAGAGGAAAGAAAATGAATCTTTCAGCACAACTGCCTACAATCAGGTTGACCCATGGAATCCTCCGGTGGCCTTTGCTAACTTCATAAACAATGAGAGCATTGTCAATGAGGTAAGTGAAGATGAATCCCACCCAGCACTGAAGCACCTAGCAGGTTATTATCCCACAATCTGGTGCTGTCCAAATACATTGGAGTTAAAGTCAAACTTACTTGGAAGACATCAAATTATGAAGGTATTGGACTGTCATCTAAAACTTACTCTGGAAGTAGGCACATGCTGCTAAGAGTTTTAGCAGCACTTCCTCTTTAAGGAAAAAAAGGAACAAACATGGTGATTTTTAGGATGCTTGTTCAGAGGACAGCTTAAATTCTCATGTACTGGGATCAGTTTTCCTGTTTGCATTTTTGTTAGCAGAGGTAATTTGATCTTGGAAACTATGAATGGGATTTATGCCTTACCTTTTGCATTTTTAAAGGATTTTAAGTACCAAAGATGATAAAATTTTGCAGAATGGATGTAAGGTATTTGGTAACAATTTTCTACTCCAATGTTCCATTTCTACACATCTCCAATTCCAAATAGGAAAGCAAAAAGTTATATTTTCAGATTACCCCCAGATTTCACTAAGTCACCTGCTGTTTTACTTAACAAACTTAGCTTCTTTGAATCCATTGCTGTACTACTTCTCTGTTTAATGGGTCTTTTTCCTAAGATAGTACAGTAACATTGTCCCTTTTCATTTCATAGGATCTAGTTGCCTGGATCAATGCTGGCTTTCTCCATATTCCACATGCTGAGGACATACCCACTACTGCAACTCTTGGGAATGTAGTTGGTTTCTTCTTGAGACCCTACAATTATTTTGATGATGATCCTTCCATATATTCTCCAGACAGTATTCACTTCAACCAGAAAAACCTCTTTCTCTGTGAGACCAACCCACTTGCATGTCTGGGAAAAATAGCTTCATGCCTGCCTACTTTCCCCCTTTTTACTTATGAAGGTTTTCAAAACGTAACAACTCTCTAATGTCTTCTATTTTTGATAGGTGAATTAGAAATTGGAAACAAAGAATGAGTCTGCATTACTGACAGCTAATACTTTTTTCTTTTTTTCTGCAGCATTAATTGATTTTGTCTGAATATTAGCCTACTCTCTTCAGGAAACCATGAAATGGAATTATCTGTGAATTTAGAAGGTGGTTGTAGAATTTTTTCTTTGCTATAGGAAAGAAAGCATGCATGATTCACATTTTTAATTTGACAGTGGACATTGAGAAAGATATATACTTCCATTTATTAGGTATAATCCTCCCTTCCTTTTACAATATTAAAACACTGATGTTAGAATTAAAATTAGCTTTCTGATCCACTGATTAGAGGACAATAGGGGTGTCTTCAGTGAGAAAGTTCATAAAATGCACAGTGATGTTCTCTTTGTGACCTAGAAGTAATCCCATGTCTTAGAAGATATGAGATTACTTAGAAGTAATTTTCTGAAGAAGATATTAGAGAGGAGAAATTATTGTTGTCTTGGGGATTTTATTGGGTGGGGTGTGTGTGAAGAAAGATACGGAGACAAATATGGATAAAGTGTGTAGAATAAATTCAATGTTTATAAGAACAAGAAATTTTCCAAGAGATGTTTTGAACTTGGTCTGCTTAGGCTAGTCCTTTCTGTGATAGTGCACCTTAGTGTACCGGCTATCCCAGAGGCAAAGAAAACAAAGAAATTTCATAAAACCACCTTGAAGGCCAGGGACTTCCCGTTTGAGCTTCTTCAGTGACTGACCGAAACCTTGTCTCTGCGAGGCTTCGATCTGTGCTCGCCACTGGAGCACCCTGAGCCGGCTGGTTTCAGGGCTAAGCCACCCCATAGAGGTGGTGAAGAGGGGGGAGACTGCCAGCAGGGTTGAGGAGAACTGCACCTCTCCTCCCCAGCTGGTCATTACTCCCTTTCCCAAAGGCGGTTGCAGCAGTGGTCATAAATGGCCACCACAAAGAAGAACTCGACCAGAAAAGTATGTGCAGGAGGAAGATAAGAAGAGAAAGTTTTGGTTGACCAGGTCAAACAGCAAAAGCAACAAATAATGTGCCCTGGAATTGAAACTGTTAAAAAACAATAACATTGTTCCCTAAGAAGATTTTTAAGCTGTGAAGGAGAGAGAAAAGAGAAAAGATTTGGTTTTCTCCTTTTCCTATACTGACAGCTAAGAGACTTAAGCAAGAAATTGGAAAAAAATCCATTTTGACATCAATAGGCATTTAACGCTGAAAATAAAAAGTCAAAGGGATAATAAAGATTTCTGGATAATTAAAAGCTTTTGAAAACAGGAAAGGAGAGAAATAGAATAAAAGGGTAGGATCTGGAAGGGAGGAGACTGCCTGGAATTAAAAAAAGCACTTACAGCAAAATCTCAACAAGACTTCCAAAAGATACATTCTAACTGAAATATTGCAACAAAAACCCCAGGAAAACAAAGTCGAAAAAGAAATAAGAAGATATAACTCGGGACTATCTGGATTACTTGATGATTTCTGGATTCTTGGTTATTGTTTTGAATGACTAAAATCAATCGGGTGGTTGTTTAAAACTGTTTAAAGGGCTCCACTTTTAGAAGAACTGAAAATGGAACTTAAAAAGTATGAAGAAGTTGCACAAGAAGGGAGAGGTTCTTTTGGCTTCGTATTTCAGTTTTTGGAAATGGAGATTTGGAATTATGAGGAACAACAAGAAATGCCTGCAGAACAAGCAGATTGCGACAAAGAAGAAGACACCTTTAATGAACAAGTAATCTTAGATAGGGAAAAAAAGGAAAGGGGGGAAAGAGAATGGAAAGTTTAAGATTGGGAAAAACAACTCCCCCCCCAAAAAAATAGAGTGAAAAATAAGTATAAAATCAGAAAGCAACAGAATAGGGAAATGCAGAAGAGAGAATTAGAACTAGAGAGACAAGAGGGTAAAAAGGGGAGGGAGAAGATGAGAGGGAAGAAAGAAAGGAAAAGAAGTTATAAAGGACAGAAGCAAAATATAGAGAAACAGGGCCTATTTAGAGATAATGGATGAAAACTTAATGGAAAAGGGGATTCTGCAAAGGTACATAAGATAGTATGGTTAAATTAGAAGCGGAAATAATTTTAGAAAATATGAAACAATGTATGATTAAAATGTCTGATAAAATAGCTATCGTAATTCAGTGGAATGCTTGTCAATAAATAAATGTAACAAAAGATATATTTAATGATTTATAAAACATGTGTGAAGAGAAATAAGGGAAAAATTAATTATGGAGATTATATGTGTTTTTAAGGAAGTATGATATTTAATTGAAAGAAGTGTTAAAGATGTTAAGATTTTAATGATTATTAATGATAGAACTGAACAGGAATGGAATGAGGGTTTATAATTACATATATTTACAATCTTTCTTTTTCTTTTTCTTTTTTTTAAAGAATATAGCGTGTATTATAAGAATGTACCAAGCAGAATTTGATTGAAAGTTATGTATTATGTATTATATTGAAGGTTATAAACTTAAGGTATATATTGAAGTTTAAATAAGAGTTGAATGCATGTAATTAAAAGATATAAAGGTGTCATACTCCAATTAGTAACTACAGCAGAAAATTTGTTTAATGAGAAAAGATAATATGAAATTGAAACAGAAACAGACAAAAGTATAAATATAATGATTTGAATTGAGATGAGATTCAAAATAAAACTGAGAAAATTAAAAGAGGGGAAAAACTAAATAGAAAATGTAAAATAGTATAAGATATGGAATAGAATACAAAAAGGAGCATGAAATTGAGTTTTGTGTCTGTATAAAGAAATTCAACCCAGGACCATGCTATTTTCAAAAAAGATGTTTTACTTGTATTTTTTATGTGTGAAAACCCAAATAAAACTTTATTAAAAAAAAAAAAACACCTTGAAGGCCCATCTGGAATGACACAATTTTGAAGTCTCCAATGTCCTCCCAGCCATAATCATCATAATTGAAAGTACTCAGCAACACCTTGATATTGCTGTAGTGGTGTAGCCCTCTTTGACGTCCACAGAATGAGTCACATGGAGATCTGGATACATGTTCCCGTTATGAAACAACATGGCTTTGAGCCTCTTATATGAACTGTTTATATATATGTGCCAATCACCTGTGACTCCTATAGCCTCGAAGAGACTGGCCACATTGTTGCAAAACTGAAGAAATTTGGAAAACATTTGTGATGCTTTCTCTGATCTGTGACATGTACATTTTCATCCAACAAATTCCACTCCTTGAGCCTAGATGACAGAAGCTCAGCATGGGACTAGGTAAGACGAAGTTCTCTGATCAGATCATTGAGGTCTTTCTGGTTGGGAAAGTATGGGTTCTTCTCCTCAGCTGCATCTGTGAAATTGTAATTGTATCTGGACTATCTTCCTCACTGTCTGACTTACTTCTTGCTCCTGAAGATGGCTTATCTTTTTTTGGAGGAAGTGGGAGCAGGGAGCTCAGGACAATGTGGTACTGTGGCGATGATAGAGGAATGTCTGGATACATGATAGTAGGCAGTCCACCAGGCAGAAGTAGCAGTTGCTTGAGAAGTCAGTTGGTTCCCACCAAATTCTTGGGATAGCAAACTTCATGGCCTTCTTCCCCCCCACCCCATATCTGCTGGTAAACAGCAGAATTGTATAATTTTTTCAAAAAAAAGATATCCCACACATTATTATGCAACATATTACTATAGGGCATAAAATATATATTGTAGTCTTCATTTTCCTAGAATATTGAAAATAGTGAAAACTTCTTAATTACAACTCTTAAACTATAATAAATCACTGAAATCCCAATCAGCAAGTGGCAAATGGTTCACCTTACCTTCAAGAGTTTTCTTGCAGTATTCCCAAATGAATTGAAGCGCCCTGGGCTTCTGTTGATCCCCGACAGGCATGCTGAAGTATGTTTTATTGGCCTCATACACCTTAACAGATGCTTTGACAGAATACTTTTTCATTCTTCCCTTGATAAATTGTCCACACATATAACAAAATTTATCTGCTGGGTGCAAGCAACTTCTTAATGCCATTTAAATCAAATATTGCTATGCACTATTCTCTTACTCAGCAATTAGACAAACTAAAATGTTGGTTAAAGGCACTTTTATACTTTTATGGATACTACAGGATAGTACAAGAAAGTGCTAGAAATATCTAAAAGATTCCAGAAAGTTCTAGAAAATTCTGGCTAATTCTAAAAACTTCTGGGTAGTTCTCACAGTTCAAGAATATTCAGGAAGTAAATTTAGTATTGAATGTGAATCGATAATGTTCTCAAAAACAGATTAATTTTTAATTTCAAAATATCATTCTTCTGACCACAGAAGCAAAGTTTTTGTGGAACAATAGATATTTTCTTATTTATTTTAGGCATAAGGGATTAAGAAACACAATTTGTACCAAGGAACAAAAATTAAATTGAAATTTATTATGTAGTGTTATAGAAAGAAGAGAGTAAAGTTGTATCCATTGAGTAAGAGGTAAATTAATATTTTACTTAAAAATGTTTATGGTAATTTACATGATTAAAAAAAGCTAGTTACTGTATCTTTTCTTTCTTTTCTGTTTTTTTTACTTTATCTTCTCTGTATTTTTATTTTTTTGTCAATTTTTTCCCCTTTGTTTTTCTAATTTTTTATAAGTTTGTATCAACTTTTATCTCCTGTTTAAAAGTATGTATATATGGTGGCATTTTTGCTCTGAATTGAAGACTTTATTGCGGAATGTACTGTCTTACTCAGCAAATCTCAAAGTATCCACGTTGAGTGATCTATGAAGATATCAAGCATGGCATATTTCAAATTTCCCAGGATAAGGAATCCCTGTTATATTATCTAGAGTTATGTCTTTTTCAGAAATAAGGCATGTGAACTAACATATGGATGATGTGAAATTTGTCTTACTCCTGCATAAATCCCTCAAATAATGGAATGAGGTTTCTTTTGTCTAATTAATTTGATGCTTTTCTGTCCAACCTTATTTTC